GCAAAAAAGGTACATTTTACTATCCTGAACAAAATTGGTGGTTCACATTACCCCTTGATCTATTTTTCGGTTCCTTTACCATCCCTAAACAATCTCATACCGGACAAAAAAAACACCCTAAGTGGTTTACCCAGACCGGATGGTGACGTGGACACGGTCAAAGGTGGTATTTGACCTGCGGGTGGGTCCCACTCGTCGGTTTGTTTTAATTTTTTTAAAGAAATAGAAGAAATAGCAGCCGGCCGCAGCGGCGGCAGCCGGTGCGCGTGGAGCCGGCAGGCGGCCGGGCCGGCGTCGGGGAGGGCGGAGACAGCGTGCGCCGAGCGGGGAGGCCGGGCGCGACCAGGCGCGTGGAGCGATGCGGGCGCGGCCAAGCGTAGAGCTGCGTGGGGCGCAGACGGGTTCGCACACGCGGGGACAGAGCGGCGTGGAGCGGCTTGGGCGCAAATGGGGCCGCACGTGCGAGAGCGGAGCTGGGAAGGTCGGAGCTGGCAGGCAACCGGGGACGACGGTGCAAGCTCGAGGAGGAGGCATGGCGGCGCAGGCGCGCAGCCGGAGCGGCGACGGGACGGATGGAGGCGGAGCCAACGCCGCGGAGGAGCGAGGCAAGGCCGACCGGGGCTAGCTCCGCGCGATGGCGGATCTGACACGAAGAGAGAGGTGAGAGAAACCTGACAAGGGGCCCCACCTAGATCAAAACTGCCATTGACTAGTGCCACGTTAGCAACAGGTTGAGACAAATCAACCAAAAGGGTGTTTTGCCCGGTTTTGGTTTGTTTGGGATAGAAGAAGTCGAAAAATAAATTAAGAGGTAAAATGAACCATCCATTTTATTCAGGGTAATTTTTCTTTTGCGAATAACCCGTCCACGGTCTATACGGTCACACCGGCTCCACGTGGGAGCGGCGGCATGCCTTCAGCCCCCTGATCTATTCGGTGTTTGTGGTGGGTCAAAGCCCCAAAAACCTGATTGTAATTTCGGTTTTCTTTGTGGAGCTTGTAAAACTGGCACTCTTCAATACTGTATATTTTTTATTTTGCAAAAAGTAATGTATATCTTTTCAAAAAAATGTACATTTTTTTTGAAACAGAAAAATGTACATATTTGATAGGATAGATATTGACACTTTTCTCTATAAATTTGTTTAAAGAAATGCAATTTTCGCTTTTTAAATAATATGTATGCACTACATCATGTAACTGAAGGATGATCAAAAGAGATGACTTGTGGGTTACCATTGAAAGAAAAAAAGTAAAATAAAAGAAAGGACGAAGAATAAAGGGGCAACTGCGATAAAAAGCTTTTTCAGTTATACAGTGATATCAAATCTCAATGAGAGACAAAAAAGTTATATTTCTTGTTTCTTTACTTCCTCTCGTAAGAGGTGGCTAAGGCGAACTCGTCCCCTCCAGGCTTCATCGACAAGTTTATGGTTCATTTCCCTTCTGCCTACGGCTTCGGCTGCCAATGACGAGTAGGAGAATCCTGATGCCTCGACTGCATCTAATAGTTCAGGTTAAGGTTTTTTACTCCTCAGAGGGTGACACTTCTTCATTTAGTTGGTGTTCCAGGCTACAATCCTGCTTGAGTTCGACTGTATGTACAGAGTGGACGAATATTCGTTGTACATTCCTATCATCTTCTTGGGGTGATAGGTTAGGATCTTTCACCGTGTATACACAATGACCAGATCTGATGCCAAACACTTCAGATTGATTCAATTATTCAACGATGACAACTATGAGTATAGGGTGATGGTCCTTTGGAGCCACATGCACGGAGAGGTCAGGCCGCCTCGGTACAGAAGCGACGATAAAGACTTAGAGCATCTACAGCCGCTCTTGGCAAATTCGACCCCTCAAACGCCCACGAACACGATCGGACGCGTCCGCAGACAGTGACCGGTCACGCCTCAAATTTGGTGATATGCATCTGAGTTTCTTACATTTCATCCCCTAGATCCATACAAACCATGCAAATAAACCTACATACTACGCGACGCTAGCCACCACACTTCATCGTCGGAGAAGTCCA